TCAGTGGAGCCAGCAAGGCAGACGGCGCCTCCAGAAGAGCCATCCTTTACGGAGGACGAGTACCACAGGTTCTACGACACGGCCCTGGAATGTAAATATTTGCTAAGAGAATAAAACGAAAATATAAGATTATAATGCATTGCCATCTTGCATGATTGTCCCCCATATATTGGATCTCGAAATTGCATCAAGACGTCAGCCATAAAAGCATACACACATACACACATATATATAGCTTGCTTTTAAAATAAACATCTAACATTTGACATATGCCTTTTCCCCTTTCTTTCACCTCCTTCACTGTCCACGTACTCGCATATAAAAATAACTCATCCGCCCTGTTGACCCTGACTGATCCTTTTCTCATCCTTTTCATTGACAGCCTACGACCTGGCCACTCAGTGCGAGTCGAGACGGGCTTCCCTGCGCCGCCACACCATTGTGGGATGCCAGAGCAACCTGGACGAGACGCACTCCATGCCGCCCACGCGGCCCGAATCGCGTCAATCGGACGACGTCAACAAGGAGGTAAGTCCCCCAGGACAATAGTGAGGATTTTATGGGGAATGGGTCGTGGTAACTTTTGTATTATCCTTCACTAAATGAACACAGACATATCTGACTGTCATCCCTTGGGTTTTATTTCCTTAATTTTCTTTTGGGGCAATATGCTTGAATATTTTAATGTCCCCTTAATAAATCATTGATGTCTCATGTTTCCTTTTTATTTATTAACTAATACATACTCCATGTCATAGGTTTTTGCAGTCAATATAAAAACTCACAAAATTATTGACAGATTTTAAATTATTTGCTAATTATTTTCCATTACTTTTTGAATTTATTGCTGGTAAATCTTTTTCTCAATTTAATTTCTGAGCTTGAGTAATTACAATAATCCAGATATATTAATATTTAATATTTTGCATATTTTTTTCAAGACATTTATAATACAAATTTCTGTTAGCCACAGAAATCATATGTTGTTTTAAATTAATAATTAAGTCGAGAAAACAATATTTAACCAACACTGTTAACTGATTTAAAACTTAATTATTTCAACAATTTTTAAATATATTTATGAAAAACTTTAAAAATAAATGTAATTGCAATTAATCAATCTGCGCTCTAGGGTTTTATTTCCTCTACATTTTTGGGAGGCAACATGCTTGTATAATTCAATGTCCGCTTAATATAAGCCAATGTCTTTTGTTTTCTTCTTATCTGTTAAATTACAAATATTACAGAATGCTAATTAAAAAAAAAAATGTTATTTATTAATTACAATTATATTTTAAAGAAATTTGATTTAAAATTTGAATTTTTCAAAGATCTTTATTAAGTATTTGTGTTAAATCAAATATATTTCCTTCGCAGACGACCAAGAGAAGTCCTGCGGAGCTGACGCATTCCCATCCCTCAGACGAGGCCAATTCAACATCCTCGCTTGGGCCATGGAACAAGTCCTTCATGGACAAGCAGACCTGGATGGAACGGGGTGACGATCGCCTGTCCGTCACCCTGGCGGAGATCGTTCACATTCGTTCCGTCATGACCAAGGCGGAGCTGGAGGGCCTGCCGATGGACGTGCGCGTCAAGGAGGATGTTGAAAAGCGTCGCGTCTGCTTCCTGTGCCTCCGCACCCGCTTCTCGTTCTTCGGCCCGTGGGGCATCCAGTGCAAGCTGTGCCAGCGCACCGTCTGCGCCAAGTGCTACACCAAGGTAGGTTCTCCTATTCTCTCAATCTGGAGAATATTTGCTATATAATTTTTCTGGCCTTTCTCAGATGCGCATTCCCTCGGAGCACTTCCGCAACGTGCCACTCGTGCTGATCTCACCATCGCTGCTGTCCAGTCCGGCCAGCTCGAGCACCCCGTCACCCTCCCATCACGCCCAGCAGGCGCACTCTTCGTCGACGGGGAACATTATGGATGACCAGTTCCCCAAGTCGCTGATCGAGCGTCTCTTGCGCTCCGAGTCGGAACGAAAGGTATCGCTCTTGCAATAAAGCCTTCTCCTCACACATTACTTATAATCAATCCGTTTGCTCCAGACTCGCAGCACTGTGGGCAGTGCCCCATCCTCACCCAAACACCAAAGATCAAACATGAGCACGCCGGGCATCAGCGTGGGACCCGGAGCATCCTCCTCCGCCGCCGCCGCCGCCTCCGGGGCCACTGGACAGGCTGTGGAGGCGCTGCATGACCAGGCGGCCATGTCGGCCTCCTATTCCGCGGCCATGCGACCCTCGGGTGTCCATCAGCACCAGAAGCAGCACTACAACAACGCCATGTCCCGTAGCATGGAGGGACCCCGCAGTCTGCCTGTGCACAGCCCAGCATATCGACCGCTCTCCAACAACAGCACGCTGGAGAGGAAGTGAGTTTCATAACTTATATAATCTATATAAATAATTTTAAGCCAGGACATATTTTACGAATTACTGCTGAGTGGTTTCATAAATTTAACTTTATTCTACACAAAAAACATACAAAATCCAAAATTACCTTAAAAAGTATCAAAATTACCTACATTTTAGGAATGATTACCTTGAAAGTGTCAGCATTAACTATAATGTCCTTATTTTGAGGCCATACAAGTCAATTCTTAGCTTATTTTTCCCAAAACTTAAGTACATTTCGACAGATTTAAAGTAATTTTTTCTTAAATTTAATAGTGAGTAATAAATTTAATGTCATTTTGTATTTTTTTCTTACGTACAGTAGAATATGTTTTGTTCCAAAATGTATACTTTATATAAATTAATTCAATTCAGGATAAATTTCATAAAATATTGCTAAGGGGCTTGGCAATTTCTTATATTTGATTAAATTCATATTCATAAAATATTATATTTTAGATATAATAATATTTAAATTTCAAATCTGTTTGAATAAAGCTCCAATGCCATGTTAAGTATTGAAATTGAGTTAAATTTTTCTTTCGAGAATATATTCTTTCTTAATATCATGTTAGAGTTTTAACATTGAGCTAAATCTTTTCTTTTCAACTGACTGAACACTACATAAGTTTACAATTTTACTAAAATTTATTTAATTCAGGATTTTCTACATTGCTAAGAGGTTTTGCAGTTTCACAATTTTAATTTCTTTTATTATTTCTACATTATTCCCAAAACTTTAAAGTTCGAAATTCTTTTTGTGTTTTAAAAAATAAACCTCATATTTAGAGAGCGTATGTGTGCTTATTTGACTTCATGATAACTTCATTTGGCCATTTATAAACTAGAAACCTAACATGAAGTCACATAGAATTTTTTCGGTAATTCTTTTTTCAAATCATGACTAATCTTTAAAAAAAAGTATTTTCAAAATACTGTTGATGTATATTATCAATGTAACTTCGTCAAAATAAATATTAATTTTTTTTTTAATTTATTAATGTTTTTGACGAAAGCGTTTTTAATAACCTACAATTAAGGTATAAATTTGTTTGACTATTAAACTATTAAGGCATGTTATCTATTAATGTCACTTGTTTAAAAATAATAAAAATATTTTTAAGTTCAACGATACTGTAAAAGTGAGTTATTAAACTAAAATTCGTCTTCCAGATCCCGCTTTTCGAGGGGCTTCAACCTCTTCTCCTCGGGCAGCCATTTGGCCCAGACGCAGGAGCAGAAGGAAAACCTGCGGGGCGAGCAGGTGACCGTGTGCAACGACTGCCAGGGATTGGTCAACGAAATCACCAGCTCCGTAAAGCAGAAGCGCAGCTCTGCCCGGAACCGCACCATTCAGAATCTCACCCTGGATTTGACGCCCGTCTGGAAGTAGGCGGGTGGGTAATCAATCGGAAAGGATCACACTGCAGTGCGTTTTTTGAAGACCGTAGGATGATGGCAACAGAGTTCCAACGACTGACTTTGCTCCATCGCTATATAATTAATATCGTTGACTTGATGACTTTGGTAGACTCATTAACGAGAACGGACATTATTTGATTACTGACCACATATACCAGAACTGTTTGAACTTTTTCATTTTCAACGTAACTGTTGTAGGGCCTTCGAAACGCACTTGAATAATTAGCTATTTAGCATATGTATGGATTAGATCGACTGTTGTACACATTAAAGGATAGAGAGCCTCAAGGAGCCTCGTTTGTAAATCATCGTGTTAGTCTAGTGAATAAGAAGAGAAGAAGTATACCGAGAATTCCTGGCTGAAGCTTTGTACATTTTCTGCCGGCTACAGAGAGATCCGCTTGAGCGCACCCCACCACATACCTACTTATAAAGATGATAACTTACACGTCGCTATACATTATATTATCGCAATACGATGCCGTTGTTTGTAACTGTTTAATTTATGCGTAAATGTTGATTAAGTACACGTAATCATTACTCTTGTATCCGCGTATATCAAGTGCACATATATTCGATCTTAGTTGAATGCCCCGGCTCTTGCTATCGTTAAAGCATGAGCGAAGTATCATAAATCAATATTCGCAATACAATCGCCAGTTCAGAGAAAGGATTTCGGTTGTTGAACATAGTTAATCAAAAATGTGAAACTTTTGTGCTTGCGCAGATCTTTGTTTACCTTGTGAAGTTTTCGTTTTGTTCAAACCCACATTAACTACAAAAATTACATGATAGCCTAATTTAATTTAAGTCGGCGTTGCAATGCGACCCAAACTATTCAGTTAATTCATTTAGTTTTAATTCTTCTGTAAGTGCGTCTATTTTGTAAGCGACTCTTTATAATTGTACAAGCTGATGATGCAAAGCAAACCAATAACAAAATCATTATTATATTATCTACTTGTAACTGCTACTAAAGTTTTTCTAAACAATTTTTGAAAGTTTTTGTTTCTTTTCTCTGTAATTGTAAATGCATTTAAGTACTTGTAATATTAAATTTTATGATTTTAAGTTCAATTCGTTTGCAATAATTTAGCACACACACGAACACACAAAGAGATCGAAAACACACAAAACAGCAATAATAAAAGAATACAAACTAATTAATGAAATAATGTTTTGGGTTTTACAAACTGATCTTTATTCTTAGCTTTCTTTTGAAGGAAACAAATGGATTCGTAGTCTTCTATGTAAAATAAATTAGAGTTCATCTCGTTATCTATGTAACAGACTATACATATTTTTTGGAGAATATTCTGTATCTTTTACGATTATTTTCGCAAACTACAAGAAAGCATATGTTATATAAGTAAGAGCTTAAAGCTAGGTCAACTAGATCTACCGAGTAACAGTTAAGCTTGGTCTACACTGCCATCAAGGGACTCGGGTGGTGAAGGAGTTAGTCTCCACGCGACTTCTTATGCCCATGCTTGTGGTCGTTTCCTCCGTGGCGCTTTCGATTGAATCGCTTGCCCTTGTTGCGGGTGAAATCGCGTCGCTTCTTCATGAACTCGATAGCCTTGTCGATGAATTCCTTCTCCTCCTCCTCGGTGGCCTTGCGCAGCGTCAGAGAGACCTCATCGTTGAACTTGAGCTGTCGATGTGGAGGGCAGCACAAATGGTAATGGTTAATAGTGAATTCAGATTTTAAAATTTTATGTGCTCTAATTTATGTATTCATGCACACAATTGAATTTATTCTTTGTAATCATAAATGCTTTTATGTATAAGTTATAGCGCGCGAAGTGATAAAATCTTTAAGACTTAGTTTATATATATTTATTATTATTATTATTATTATATATTTATATATTTATTTTGGGCACATACAAAAATTAGTTTAACGACAAGCCATGCTTATAAAATGACTTGTGACCTGCATGTTTGACTTATGAAGACGAAATGGTACGAAGTTTTAAAAGTTACATTTACTTTTAACTAGTTATATAAAAAAATCACTTCTGTTTCACTTAAAAGAGAATGCTATACTTTTATATTTATATGACATAATGTTTGCTAGCTTTTACATTACTTTTTAGTTTACTTTTAACTAGTTGTATAAAAAAATCACTGTTCTGTTTTCCTTAAAAGCCATGTTTTCCATGTCCAAAGAGGTGCATGATAGAAATATAGTCGGTTTACAATTAACTTGTATAAAAAACAAAATTGGTTAAAATCTGCTTACATATAGAGAGGATACAAAGATATCTTTGCAAGATGGTAAGTTTAAAAACACGTTTTTAATGTGTGGGAATTTTTGTTAAATATGTATCTTAAAAATGCCCTATGTAACAGAAATTAAAGAATTACTGACCCTATTTTTTAAATGCCTAAATTAAGGAACCTTGTAATACCAGTTTTGTAATCTCACCTTGCCCTCCTCACTCTTGGCGATGTACTTATCGGCCGCATCGGCCTCTGTCAACCGGACGGAGCCCTTGGTTTCGCCCTTGGCGAACTCGATGTAGGCCACTTCGAAGTCCTTGATCTTCTCGAATGCTTCGCGAATCTCTTCGCGGCTCGAGGTTTCTGGGGCACCCTCAAAGACCACAATGGCGTTTTTGGGCAACTCGAAGGCGGGCTCCGGCTTGGCCTCCTTCTTGTTCTTGCGCTTCTCGTTCTTCTGGGCGTACTCCTCCTGCTTCTCCTTGAGATAGTCCACCTGCCACTTGCGCAGCAGCTCGCGATCATTGTAGGCCAACTTCTCCAGTTCGATGAAGGCCTTGGCCTGCTCCTTGGTCTCGAAGGTGAGGAAGATGCTGCCCTTGAACTTGTACGACTTGGTGGGCTTGTCGTAGTGCTTGCGCATGGTCAGGTTGACCACTTTCTCATGGTTGGCGGCGAAGTCGAGGAGCTCACTCATCGGCGAGTCGAGGGGGAAGCCCTTGGCGTAAGCGGTGCGCTCCTGGATCTCCTTGCGCCGCTCCTCGTTGTGCTCCGGAATGGGACGCTCCGGATGGCGACGCAGACTGAGCTTATCTTCGCTAATCTCGATAAGGCCCTCCTCGGATTTGTTGAGGGCAGCCACAATTTCGGCCAGATCCGTGGACAGCGAGGCCAAGCGCTTGAAGGTAATCAGCACGGATAGCGGCACCCAGCCGTCTTCGTTCTTGCCGATCTGTTCGCGCAGGAATTTATCCCGATTGAGATTGGCATCGCCGAAATAGTACTCCACTTGCCGAATTATGGCGCGCTCCTGTTTCGTGAAGTCGTCACCCGCGCCGCCGCCGGATTCGGCTTCCTCGGCCGCCGGTGCAGGCTGTTGTTCCTCCTTGGCGTCGCCATTCTTGGATTCCGGCACCTGCGCCTCCTCCTCCTGGACTTCCACACTCGGGGTTTCAGCAACTTCCGCCATATTAGCTGTGAGTATTTCGCGCAGAAAGGAAAATTAAACGTGCGGTGACTTAAACACGTGTGCGGTGGCAGAAACGAAATTACGGCGTTTCACAACACTGCTCGTAAAATGCTGTGGTAGAGATGCGCAAGCGGGAAACTGTGACTGCTACTATCGGCTGGGAAATATCTTGAAGTCATCTTGACTTCAATTCAATTCTTCGCCCATTTCTATTTCTTTCAATTAAATTAATAGACTTATAAAAATATTCCCAAATTATACATTTCAACGTTACCTTTTGCTCGAAATCCATTCGTTTAGAACTTCAGAACTAACCATCAACCAGCTAATTTTTTTTCTTAAAATATTTCGCAGTACTTTTATTATGTCAGGGTCCTTGGTTAAATTGCTATCTGCAAGTTTAGTTGGCGCCAAAAATATGTTTAATGCTTATCACAAATTTAGTGCTTAATTTTAGAATTAAAAAATATTTGTGTACATTTTTTCTATGAGTGATGATACATAAAGAGTTAATTTTAGAAGAAATAAAGAATTTTAACAGAAATTGTAACAAAAATAGAGTGGAAATTAAAAGCAGTGTGCAAAACTGCAGTTAACAGTGCGAGGTCGTTAGAGATGGTATGACAACGATGATCCCTGCCGAACATCGATAAGACCTATACTATGAAAACATCGAAACAGTCGATGCTGGCATCGATGTTCTTTCCATCTCTATTTCTATTTCTATTTTGGTCGTGCGCTACGTTTTATTTATGTTTGCCATGGGAAAATACTGTTGTTAATAGTGCTAAAATAGGTACTCCTGGTAAACCTAAAAAGTGCTTTTGTCGATTGACCTATACAACAAACCATCGGCACCAAAGTAAACAAGTTTTTCGGAGTACTTGTGCGTGCATTCCGCATCGGCCAGAAAACAGAAAATCGGGCAATAAATAGTGAAAAGTGAGCTCTTTTTGGTATATAACTAATTGTGTATATAATAATAAGAGTGAAACAGCCACCTAAGCAACGATTGTGAAGAAAAATTACTCACATATCTATTTTTGCACAACGAACGACAACGAACAACAACAAACGGAGCAACAAATGTTTGTTAAAACGAAACGCAGCTGAAGGTGAGTTACTAAGGAAAAGGCATTAAAATCCCATAGACAGCTTGGCTGGGAAATGGGAAAATGACTCAGGTTTTTGCATAACTATTGGTCTGGCCAAAGGTTCAGTGGCATCAGAAAATTAACCCCTACCGCACTGCGATGCGTCATCCAAATAGAGGCATCTATAGACATTCCCCACTACATCAGTTTACAGTGCGACCTCTGTAAGTCAAACTCTTAGGAAAGCTTTTCATTTCTAGAATAAAAATTTAAATCCTGCTGATGCCCAGGTAAATATTCTAAGTTGTTTTATGTACTAAAATTTTTATTTATAAATTGAATTTCCTTTAAATAAGTTCTATTAAAATGTTACAAACCTTTTACTACAGGAACTTTAGTTATCTATCGAATGTCCTTAATTAATTAATTGGTTAATTAATCGGTTAACAAAACAACATTGACCAGACAACTTTTGTCTTTCAGTTTGTAAATTTTTCCACGTAATTCTATTTTAGTTCTAAAAAGTTTTATAACTTCAAATAACCTTCAATTCTATTTTAACACATTTATTTTAAAATATGGCAAAAAACAACCTAAGGTTTTTATTTTATTGTGGTAGATAGAGGTTCAAGTTGCTAAATCTTAATTTTATGTTCTATTCGAATTTAAATTTCATTCATCTCCAATGGTGATCCTCAAAAAAATGATTATCGAAAGACTCGAGAATTGTTCTTGTGTGTTAAGTAGGAAGTTCTTCTGTATCTCAACACATTTCTTGTTCAACTTCCTTTTCCTCGTGCATTTGGTAATTTGTTGCCGGTTTTTCGGGGAAGTCTCCTATGCGCCGTCTCCAAGAGGTCGACGAAGTTCATGAGGCCGCCTGCATAATCCATTGGGTCAATAGCAAAGGCTCCTACATGGCATCCATTTCCGTTCCTGTGGCAAGTGTTTGTTTGTTGCCGCCTTCTTCTCGTCCAGTGGCATTCTTTGTGAAAATAAACTGCACTGCCGGCACGTTTCGGGACCTGCCATTTGCCTCCAAACCCCAAAACCCCCAATTGGATCCACAAAACCAACAAGCATCATTACCCAAACAATTTTGAACCGCTGCCAAGAGAATTTTCTATGAAAGGTGGTGGCAAAACCGAATGCAGATGCTTTCTTTACTTTATTCTCAAACGAGGTATTCGTTTCAGCTTAAGGCAAACACTAAGTTTAGTAGCAGTCTTTAAAAAATGTTAAATTATATAATATAATATGTTACTCCAAAAACTACTTGGATAGATAGATTGTTTTTATATCTTCATAAAACTATTCTACTTTGTTTTATTTAAAAAAATATATTTTGTTACATTTCTAAACATTTAAAATTCAAATATTAAACTTATTTAATTTAATTTAATTCAAAAATATTTTCAAATGATTCGAAACTACTACGAAACTACCTAAATGTTATGGGTACAATTAAGTCGAAAGTCTCCAGCACTCGCCTCATTTCGGTTTCCTCGTTCTGCATTATTATTGCTATTTTTGCGCTTTAATGAAAGCGTTTCAGGAATATCTGTATATTTTCCCAAAACAAACCGCTGGCCGTCAATTCATGCACTTTCATTCGTGGATGCTAGGGAACATAATTTGTTCATATTTCCGCTGTTGACCTCGTTTTTCGGTTTGTGCGATATGAGAACTTCAGATCTCCTCCAGCTATGAACTCCCACTCGCTCACCTCTTTTGTGCGCCCACATCCACCGATCCACCGAAGACTTCCTCCTCCGCCATGAAGTATCTATAAATACTGGCGAAGCAATCAAATTATATTATGTCTATATATCTGAGGAAATGCATCTCAAGTGGTGGCAGCAGCCTGTAAATCTCGGTATTGACACATTGAAGGGGCATCGAGTGCAGTTCGGTCGAGGTAGTAGTCCCTAAAAGCGATCCGGATCCGGCCGTGACAAGATAGAACTGCATAAATTTGGTTTGTCTTTGGCTCTGCCTTTGCTTGTCTTTTCTCTGACTTTGCGCCAAGCAAAACAAAAGCACAGCCATTCAATTTTCTCACATCTCTCGGCGTTGTTTACGTTTTCGGTTGCCCCACGAAAATAAACAGTCGGCAATTTAAGGTTTTCCGTCCGATGCGACGTTTTCTTCGTCAAATTGCGCATTTCCGGAAGCCGTAGGACATTCATATGATTTCTGCCTTTAGCGACAGATCTCTTATAACCAAGAGATCGCGTAAATTTAGCGAGCGTGGGCCCAGTGTTTCTGAATCTGAATTTGAATCTGTAGCTGTATCTGTATCTGGGGTTGCACTATGCTGCTCTGCGCGACGCCATGTGCAAGTTTAATGAATTAATTAAAATTTCTTGCGGTCGTGGCTTTTAATTCAAAGGGTTATGTACATATATGCATGTGTGCATCTCTGTATCTGCATCTGCAAATCTGACCTCCACTTGCATCATTTGGAACACTGCAACCACAGCAGCGGCATCACCACCTACGGAAATTTGATTGTTGCCGGCCATGGACTTTTAAAATGATTTCAGGGTCAGGCGAAGCGGTGGGGAAATGGCATAGATTTGGCTTGGCTTTTGCATTGTAATTGCAAAGCGTATTTAAGCAGATATTCTGTGCTCAATTAAAACTGTTATACTAGATTATTCCATTTTGTAAGTTGAAGAATCCTATTATCTAAAAATTATGTTATTTTGATTCAAATATTACCTAAGCTCGTAATCTTCATTTTTGTTTTTTAATTCTTTTGGCTATATTCATTCTTCTTTATTGTAAAAGGTTGAATTATAAATTTTTGTATATGCTATAAATATATGTTAAGTAAATGAATTCCATGTACCATTTCTTAACTTATTAAGATGGTTTTTAGGTAATGCGATCATATAAAGATTTTCTCTTGATTTTACTATTAAAATATACATAGATTGGTTTCTTTACCAAATTGGATATAATTTTAAACCAAAAAATAAATCATATCTACATGGAAAGGTCTATAAATTAAATCTCAGCATAAGATCTGAAAAGATATTTAATCTAAGCAACGTTGCCAAAGACATAATCCTATTAAAATCAAAATTCCAAATTATTACTTAGATAACAACATGTGTATTATTTATTCTGGTAATCTGTGACAGAAGCCATATTCAATGGACATAGCTTATGAATCACAGGCATATGTTATACCTATAAACCAACAGGAAACTGAACGGAACAGGTGAAATTTTCAAAAATAATTCAGAAAGTGGTCTGACCAAGACCTACTAATATGCAGAAGTTCCCAATTGATGACCGAACCCGCAAACATGGAAGACTTCGCATCCAATAAGTATTCCGCATATATTTTGGCACAAATATTTTTATGGGTTTTTTCAAAACACAAAGCAAAAAGCATATAGAAGCATTTTTCTGCTGCTGCCGTCGCTTATTTCTCAATGAAATAAAATTAAGATATAACACGGTCCCCTGAAGTCCCCATTTTGGAAACGATGATGAAAAGGTTGTCCCCGGATCCATTTTTTTTTTGTCACATCTCTGTTGATTTTCGGTGAAAATATGCAATGTATCCGCTCGAAAACGTTTCAGATATACTATGTGAAAATAAATTCCATTCTCTCACGATCCCGAGAAGAGTGGCACTTTCGGTTGCTGTGGAAAATTCGGCTGCCATTTGTCGCCAGTCTTTCTGTATTTTCCGCTTTTCTGTATTTTGTGTTCTGTCGTCTGGTCGACAGTTTCGCTGAAGCAATGAACGCGTGCGGTGCAACGTCTGAAAGCAGAAACGGCGGAAAACGGCAAATTTTCGATCAACAATTTATTGTTGAAAAAGTATATATCATTCTATATAACAGACTGTTTAGCGGGTAAATATACTTCAGTGTCTAAGTGGCGAGTAGGCGACAATTTAAAGGCATTTTCTTTCGTGTGTGCAATCAAAACGTGACCTTGCCTCAGGGAAATAATTTCGGTCTAAATTCCTAGGAAAATTGTTTGATTAATCTCAATAATTTTGGCGGTGTTTTCTCTCTCTCTCTCTCTCTCTATGGAGCTGTAATATAATTATTCGGAAGAGCCACTATCGAATAGACAAATTCCCGTCTGCCATATGGGACTTTGCGAGTCGGCAAAGATGTATATTTTCGGCGGTTTTTTATTTTTAGTATCCCAGCACAAAAAAAGTGTTTTTGGGCAAAATAACAAACTTGTTATTCATATTTTTGCTGTCACTCATTGAGGCAATAGCGCAAAAATGTGATTAATCTATTTATATATAGGTATATGGGTTCTACAAAGAATACAGAAAGATTATTTATTTTATTTGTCTTGTTTAGTGTAGTGTTATTACTCTTTGAGATAGAGTTTTTTCACATGAGCTACTGGTATAATATTTAATTAAATGTATAAACTATTTATTAGCATTATACCGATTTTTATGCTATAAATGCGTGATATTTAGACATTAATATTGACGAAGTGATACCAATTCCAAAAATGAAATGACTTTTATAAATGACTCATTACTATTCTTAAAGTCCATGTACCTTTTCCCCGTTTTTATTATTCGACTATTTACAAGTTGTTGTCGCACATACACAATAGATTTTCAGTGTGCTATGAAACATTGAGAATTTATTGTGTGTGGCATTAACATTTTCCAATGTCGCTGTACAGTTCATGAGTTTTTCCGAAAATATTTTTTCATAACTGCTTCTTTATATAGATGACTGATTTCATGGATCGAAATGCACTTGCCTTCAGAATTCAGAAAAGCCGAACCCATTTCCGCCAACGAAAGTGTTTAACGATTACCATAAACATTCAACGATTTGCAATGTGTTGATCTCTTAAAGAATTGTTCGAACAACCCATAAAAAACTGGCTCGTGAATATATTCAAACATGACATGGTCGTTGTTTATGATTTATATTTTGGCCTGTCCGGTTTTTCAAAATGTTTTTATGGCCCTAAGCGAAATGTTTTTCCTTTCGCAATAACTGAGTGATTTTTACCCAATTTTCGTAATGGCTTTTCCCTGCTTGTGTGACCTTGGCCATCGCTCGAGTTTTCCAGTGGGCTAGAAAATAACGTCCGTAGGGGAGTCTCCGCTCCAAAGTGTCAAGAAACTTGCGCACGCCTTTATCGACAGATGTTTTGAAAATAATTTCTTTTCCTGGGGGCCATATTTATTGCTTGCCTGGCAATTGCCAAAAAAAAAAAAAGCCAGAGGAATTCCAAGCAATCATCGCTGCAATAATGCGTAGGTGCTGTATTTAAAGAGATAGAAAGATAGATAGATATGTTGCTCACATATGCTATGCGTTCCATTGAGCAAATTGCCTAGCTGATATTTCAAGTTCAATACCTCAATTGCCTCGTTTCAGTTAAAGCAACCTAGTGCGGATCCGGAGCAGCCTTGAACAGCTCGACCATGGACCAGCCACTGGTGGTGCAGGCGGAGTACTCCTTCATGGGCAGCAACAACGACGAGTTGTGCTTCCAGAAGGGCGATCTCATCACTGTCACCCAGCGGGAGGATGGCGGCTGGTGGGAGGGAACGCTGAACGACAAGACTGGCTGGTTCCCCAGCAACTATGTCAACGAGTGCAAGGTGCAGCTACCTCTGGCGGAGACCATTCGGCCGCCGGAGGAAATCCAGGAGTACCGATCGGTGGTACTCAAGGATCTGCTCGATTCGGAGCGAGCCCATGTGGCCGAGCTGCAGGGACTGCTCGAGAATTTCCTGGAGCCCATGCAACAGACTCAGATGTAGGCATTCGTATATTAGCTGTAATTCTGTAATTTGAGTTCCTTACTGAATTTCTCTCCATGCAGTCTTAGCCAGGATGAGTACGCCCAGCTGATGTGCAACTTTGTGGAGATCGTGCGAACGCACGAGGATCTGCTCATACAGATCGAGGAGTGCAACGATCGAGTCGGCAAGCTGTTCCTTACCAGCGCTCCCTTGATGAAGAAGGTCCACCAGGCCTACTGTGCTGCACATCCCAAGGCCATTGTCATATTGGACAAGTACAAGTGAGTCTAACCTTATGCTTTTTGCACTGATAAAAAACGTAGTAAATCCAAGTATTTCATACTCAATTTAAATATTTTTCGCTTTGTTTTTTATTTATTGGCGTTTTTAGTTACTTTAAATATTAAAATATTTTTTTTGGAAAAATAGTATTATTGCTATTTTTACCCAATATTTTTCACATTAGTTAAATATTATGATTTTTATATGTAATTTAAATATGAGATATGACACTTTGGATTCAATTAGTAATTTATTCTTACTATTGCAATATATAATTAATTTTCATTAAAAGTTAAGAAATTGGTTTTGCTATTTCTTTTTAAAATTTGGCATATTTTATTTTTTAACTCTTCCATATCCTATTTGTACCTCCATTTTATGTTTAACTTTTTGTTAAACCTAGCACAACCTAATTTGATACGATTGCTTGTTTCTGTTTTGTTTGCTTACATTTATCGATTTCCAAGGAAAAATTTCTATTAATTATGATTTTCGGAATTGCAAAAACAGTTTATTTTGTTAATAATAATAAACAAAGAACGTAATTTGTTGTAAAAAGTAACTTAATACTTTTGATTATATTGAAAATATAATCACTTGGGCAAATCAAATTAGACTTAACAGCACCTATCATTAAACCATTCTAAACATATTTATTTGTACCCCCAAGAGATGACTTGGAAAAGTACATGGAACGACAGGGAGCAGCCACTCCAGGCTTACTTGTGCTCACTACGGGTCTATCGAAGCCCTTCCGCCGGCTGGACAAATACTCAGCCATGCTGCAGGAACTGGAGCGGCATATGGAGAGCAGTCATCCGGATCGCGGCGACACACAGCGGAGTGTGGCCGTGTACAAGGACATAGCTGCCACCTGTTCGGCCACACGGCGCCAAAAGGAGCTGGAGCTGCAGGTGCTCACGGGTCCAGTGCGTGGATGGCAGGGCCAGGAGTTGAGCACCCTTGGCGACATCATCCATATGGGCAGCGTGGCAGTTGGAGCGGACCATCGCGATCGATACTTTGTGCTCTTCCCACAAACGCTGCTCTTCCTCAGCGTTAGTCAGCGGATGAGTGCGTTTATCTACGAGGTATGCCACACAAGCATAATGAGGAAAAATCAATATAAATAATTAGTTACTTTAAACCACAGTGAACTTAGTTATTATCTCTTTAAATGCAGGGCAAACTTCCCTTAACCGGGATCATTGTGAATCGCCTGGAGGACACGGATGCCATTAAAAACGCCTTCGAGATTAGCAGTCCTCTGATCGATCGCATTGTGGCTGTCTGCCAGGGTCCAAATGAGGCCAACAAATGGGTGGAGCTGCTCAACGCAAACAATCCCAGCCTGCCGATGGGCATTAAACGGCAACTGAGCAATCTGAGCAACTCCTCACTTGGTCACCTTAATGCCGCTCATGTAAGTAGTCTACATTTATTCGATTTACCCCTATTATCATTTCGTTTTGGCGACACTTTAAATCGTGAGCAGCTTAGTCAACACTTAGATTCACGGGGCTACTGCACACGGTTCTCGCTCTGTGCCTACTACACGAGTCCTCCTGGTCAGGTGCGTCCACTCCGAGTGACTCTTCCACCCAGCAATTACCCGCCCACAGCTCCGTACGCCAATCTGAGTGCCCACTTTTCGAGGCTCGTGAAGGCGGGCGGATTGAGGAGTGCCATTGTGAAGATGCTGCTCTATCCGCAGGCTCGTCAGAGCATAGATCTCAAGCGGATTGCGCTGCGTAAGAAGCGCTGCCACAAGGCGTCCGCCAAGTTGAAGGATCTCAATGCCAACCAGGATTCGGGGCAGTCGGAACTGGAGCGGCAGGATGCCATCGAGTTGCCTACGGACTCGGAGAGCTACGATGATGATGACTTTGAGGATGATTTTTTGCATTCCTGCGACTCAGATCCGTTTGAATATGTGCAGTTTTACCAGAACCAGCGCAACGATTCCATGTGCAACTCCACGGGCACTTTTGTGGACCATGGCACGGCAGCCAGAAGGCACTGTTCCTCCATTAATCTCATCAAGCTGGATTCTGTGGACACGGACGAGGTATTGGCTCACAACGAACTCAAAAAAGAGTCGCTAATTATAGGATCCAGGGCTCTGAGAGCCTTGGCTCGAAAGTCTACCACTCGGAATTCCAGTGTGCACACCTCTACGGCAACTCTGGAGTTGGGACTAGGTGGCAGCGTCACCAACTGTGTGGAGGAGGAACCGCCACCAAAGCATGCCCTGAAGCAACAGAGTTCCGATGCCAGTTCCATGTACGTGCCCAGATTGGGCGGAGCCTTCACCGCCTGTGAGAACCTGGCCAGCATGCCCGATGATTTCAGCCGGGAGTCCAGTGTCCAAGAGCCACCCACTCCACTGCCAGCTTCGCCGACAGAGCGGCACAGCATGCCCACCATATTCGTGGGCAATCGCTTTAATCAGAGCAAAAACACGGAGGTATATGTGCCTACGTGGCGCGATCGCCAAGAAATGCAGATGCAGAGCGTGGATGCAGAGCAGGAGGATGAGTTGCACTCCAGTTCCGTGGATCTGCCGGCGGCCTGTCGCATTGCTCCGGATAAACTGCAGGCAGAGCTACTCTACAACTACGACGAGGTCGTGGCGAATCCTCCGGCGCTGCAGCGCGAGCTGACTCCCTTTCCGGGGCACAAACTCAATTCGGACAAAAGGGTTTCCCACAAAAGCGACAGTCCGTCGACGGGAAATGTGAAGGCGGATTCAAATGCCGCTGCAAGAAGCAGTTCCACCACCGAACTCTGCATTGATACTGCTTCTAAAAAGCGCAATCCTCCGCCGGAGAGGAGTAGGGATTCCATTAGGCGGTGCATCAGCTATCAGTTCCTACAGATGTCCAATCGCCCGGATCCTCCACCACCGCCGCCGCGCCGGGATCCGGACCTCCACTTGGACACCAAGTGCCGCTGCTGCGAGAGCTCCCAGTGTCCCAGTCCGCGATCCAGTGACAGCGGAATGGCTGGCAGCTGCACTATAACCTCACCCGATCCTCCCAACCCGGAGTCTTACTTTCCCATGGAAGCCGTAGGCCAGGATATGCTGGATAACGTGGAGCCGGAGCGATTTGATGTATGCGGAATGTTCAGGGAAAAGTTCCTTACCCCAGAGGCCACTCAGGATGTTGTGGAACCACTGGAGGATGAGCAGCCTCAGCTGCCTGATGAACCCATTACACCCACCAATCGAAAGGAGGACTTCCCCTGCATAAGCTCTGCCCAAGTGCAAGTGAACACGAGGAGTATATTCCTGCCCTCCAGCTCGAGCATGGATGAGACCAACAGGAGTGTCCCGTCCAACGATCTCCTGTTTAGCTCGAGTTCCACTGATCGACTGGGACCACAGGCCACCTTCCGATCGGGAATGTATGCGCACTGGTGGAAGAAGGAGCGCCTGCCACCGGAGGTGGTGCGCGGCATTGCACACGCCTACAACAAGAGCCTGCCCTCCAAGGACTCCAAGGACTCGGGATCGGTGTGCTCCAGCTGCTTCTGTTCGCTGGGGGCCAGCGGTTACAGCGAGGGTGCCCTGTACTGCTCGGTGTGCCAGAACTGCGCGGATTACTACAATGGCAGCAACACTAGCACCACCAATACGACGACCACCACCTCATCTTCCAGCTGTCCATTGTGCAGCGAGGACGAGGGGATGATCGCCTCCATCCACGACTCCTCCTCACTCGACTGTCCCATTTGCACGGGCCGCGTTGCTTCCGGCGCCGAAGAAGGCAAGCAAACCGAAGAGTTGGGTCGCCGGCCAGGTGACCCAGGGGATTCCACTCAAATGGCTTCCCCGGTTCTCCTGTCCGGCGGCGTTTGTTCCGTGCACGTGTTCCGTTTGATTGTTTTGTAAATTCGTTTTGCTCTCTCATGTTTCTCACTCATGTCTCAACAAAACAAAAAAGACCCTAATGCTCAGACCAACCAGCAACCATTTGGCCAAATGCAGCACGTCCAAAAAATGTCTCCATTCGCAACCACACAACGCTTCCTCATCAGCACATTGTTTGACTAACCCAGTGACCGATTATTGGGATCTCTTGATATCAAATAGAAATTTCTGCCAAGAAAGGGTTTTAGAATTAGTATTCGGCGTAACATAATTTCTCTCAAAACAAAAGTGTTCTATATAAAAAGTTATTGCTTCAAAATTTTTTATAAAGTCTTGGTACCTTGAAAATTAGGTCTTAATCAGAAAAAAGGTATAATTTGCAATAAATTTAGCTTGAAAATTTTGGTCAAATTAATATGTGTAGGAGATTGAATGATGAGCTAACTTAAAATGTAATGTGAAGTTGCCAACTATACATAGACTTACAAAATAACTGATATTCAAACTATCACGTTTATTAATAAACCACGATAGATGATCCCTGAACTTCAGAAATATAGCTACCATCCTTTGTTTCTATGTTTGAGCTGAAATTTCATCTGTCCAAAAGCTAAACGAATTACAAAACATTTATCTAACGCTCAGCAACACACAAATTCGAAATGAGAATGTAAATTCGAAATCAAACCAAACCAAACCAAACAAACGCATTCAATTCGATTTGCTTGCTGCGCTTTGCTCGCTGCAGGAATTGCCTGAAGGACAACCTGCCTCTGCCTGCCGTTGTACGTTGTCCTTGTTGTTACTGATCCGCTGATCCTGTTGACAGCGGACCACCAAGAGATTCTCCGATCACTTAACTAACTTTTAAGTTACTTAATAATGCTCATGATGTGTGCAGTAAGAATCCATATTAAAAGTGCTCTTTATGTCTTAAATTGCAGATGTCACCGCCATCGGGCCACAGCCTGCTCCTGCCAACCGGCGGCCGTCCACCGGCCACGCCCAGCAGCATCCCGCCCAGCGGCAACAACAGCGGCGGCGGGAGCAACAGCCACCAGGGATCACCGGCAACCAACTCGATGTCGCATCACAAACGGAGCCAATCGTTCAACCACCATCTCAGCTACAATCAGTACACGCCCACTCAGCCTCCACCACATCATCTGCATCCACAACAACCACCAAGTCTGCCAAGTCATCTGGGGGCAGCCGGCCCCAGATCAAGTTCAGTCCAGACACCAAGCAGCAAGACAGCAGCTCCAGTCCCGGCCTCATCCATGGACGCCAGTCCAGCAATTCAGGCAGCGGCAGCAGCAGCGGCGGCAGCGGCGGGAATGGGGGTGCCAAGCGCAAGGAAAGGAAGCACAAAGGGTGAGACATCGACTTCTTTAAGCCTTACACAACCCGTGTCTTAAAATCAAGAAAATCGGAAACAAAAAATCAGATAATTCCCGACTGTACCAATCCAGAAACTCTTTAAACCAATTTGATTTTCTTGTTCGCAAGCGGCAAACCATAAACTCTAAATCGACATCTGTTGTGATTTTAATTCCTAAATATCGTCTGAAATAATTGTTAGATTTTGAAAATTTTTGGTGTGTCGATAGATATCGACCGCGCTAACATATACCGCCCAATAGAATTTCGCGATATGTAGTCGTTTGAGTAGACGTGGATTTTGAAATACATTTGCGATGAATGGGCAGAACTGTAATCAGTATGCTAAATTGCTAATCTTTAGCTTGTTTAGTTTTTAGATAGTGATCAATAAGTTATATTATTTAAAAATAAAAAATAATATAAAATAAATATATATATATGTAGATATATATTTAAATATTGAAAAACGCTTTTTTCTTACATTTACATTTTGTAAAATTGTTTTTCTGTGTTTTGTTTTTATTTCTAGTCTATTTTCATCGATTTTATTACTTAAGTTAGTTGTTTGAAATTAGTTTTAAAGCGTAAACTAACGCATGATTTATATCTCCAGCTAACTGGACCATCAGCTGCCTGCGTCCCACCCCGCCTTTGCGGCCCAGTTTGTTGAATGCCACCAGTGGATCGGGGAGCGGCAGCGGTGGCGGCAGCAGCTCCAGCAACGCTTTGGCCAGCTACTGCAGCGGGAGGAAGAACCAGCCCACCTACGAGGAGGACGCCCTGGTGCTCCGGGTGTTCGAGGCCTACTGTGCCGCCTACCAGAACAACGCCAGGAACACCATCCACTCGGGTAAGTGGCGCCGGCCATCCCAGATGTGCTTCATCTAGCTGTAAGGATTTCCATGTGCTCCCCGAACCAAGTTTGATTATCATTTGCTGAAGAACAAAAGCTACAAATTGTTAGCTAATCTGCTTATTTACTACACACACTCACAAACACACACACAGCTGTACAATCCTCACACAAACACAGACTCATTTAAGAATCCAGGCGCTAAGAACAAACCATTTATCATTTTATTGGTTGGTTGCTCCACAATAATTTCATGATTTTTATTCATTCATAACAAGGCTCTGAAGTTGCACTAAACCAAGATCAATTTTCCAAATTTAACCGAAAATATTGTATTAGGCTAGTTGAACCATTAACTTTAAGCTTACACATTGTTAACCGATTACCAAATTATTTGTAAGAGAAACTATTGATTTTTAGTTGTATAAATTGGCAATTGATTTCGTTTTAAGATCCACAAACTCAACTCTGCAATTGGTGCTAAAGCAGCGCGCAAAGGAAACCAAAGTTTTTTGCTTTACATAATGTCAATTATTCTGTACTATAATTATTTGTATTGACCAAATTGAATTTGATCTATTTTGTGTTTTACTTTAAATAAATACTGTTTTTGTTACCCCATTACCCATGTAAACTTTAGTTTAATTTATTCTTACCGCCGTTCGTTCCAACCCGCATTCCCATTCCTCGGACCAAAAACATGTTCATTTGACTGATTTATTATCATTAGCATTAAGCTTGCACATCCTGTACATATGTTGGATTCATGGTTGAAGGTTTTTTGTTAACCATTCCTGCACACTCATTCCACAGTCCTGATTCTACTCACACCTAATGGTATTAATTGGTTTAAAAATAGTCCATACACTTACTACTGGTAATGGTACTGGTGTCTTTTGTTGCAATCCTCTGGCCGCTTTCCCAACTCAGTGTTGTCCTCATCCTTGTAGACAATACAATTCATTTATCCTGAATTCTTTCTTTATTTCACCCTCTTTTCATATGATTGTTGTGATTGTCTCCTTGTTGGCGTTGTGATCTTTTCGCTTATAACCCTTTATTTTCATTTGGTTCTGTGGCTTTGGTTCTCTTTATTCGTCCCTCCTGTTGTCGTATTGTCGTGTTGTCGGTATTTCGTTTTTCCGTTTCTTCAAAACTCTTCATTTTTCTCTCTCTCTTTATTCCAATCCGACCTGATCCAAATCGATCTATATAGCCTTACAACCCTGGACTCCGTGTCTGCCCATCCGCGGCGGCAAGCTGAAAACGAGCAAAACCTTCTCGACCTCCAATCCACAGCTGCCTTTCATAGCCAATATCGGCACCTCACCCTACCTCAATCATCATCAGCAGCAGCAGCAGCACCAGCAGCAGCAACAGCAACAGCAACATCTGCAGCAGCAACACCTGCAGCAGCAGCCACATCACACACAGCAGCAAACTGGTCGTCAGAACTCCGCCGGCAGTTTGAACTCTTCGTTTATTTGGCGCGAGGCCAGTCCCAACAACTTTAACCTGTACTCCAGCTCGGTGTCTTCCTCGCTGAATGCCACGCCTGCGCAAAGATACTCCTTAACTGGACCAGGAGCAGGAGGATCGCCCTCGATCAAGGACTACCAGAGGGCATTGTCCGAGGAGAGGGCCACCAGGAAGTCCCTTAACCGCTTGAAGAGTGGTTTTGGTTCTGGCTACGACAATGTGTGCACCTCACCCCTGCTGCCCAGGAAGAACAAGCCTGCTCCGAAGTTGGTGGCCCAGCAGTCGTACCAGCGATCCCCGACCACCACCATAGTGAAGCCAAATCCGACAGGACATCCGGGACTCTACGATCGACGGTTGAACCGCTCCTTTGAAACCTCCACTTCGCATCGCTATGCAGGCTACGGAGCTGGTTACTTGATGAACTGTGGCGGAGCCCTGCGGACCAGCACGCTTCAGAGGAGCACTCCTCAACTGGCTGGCGGGGATCGTTCGGACGACAGCGATGTGGAACGGGAACGGGAATTGCTGAGGAGCAATGGAGCTGCAACCTCAGCCACTTTAGAACTCAATGCCGATGGCAGCAAGCGGCAGTCGGGCAGCTGGTGTTGCGGTAATTTTGTGATGAAACAGTGGCGCAAGATCAACCATCTTTGAGTCGGGGTTTTAGGGCATCTCATAATGCTGCCTTCATCAGTCATCCGCATCGCATCCGCATATTGCATCCGCATTCGCATCCTGCTGCTCCAGCTACAGCTCCAGCTCCAATTACTGATACAGATACAGATGCTTTGCTTTGAATGCGCTCTGAGTGCAAATCTTTATTGATTTTTAGTTGAATTTTGTGGCTGCGCAAAGCTTTTGAATGCCCACGAGCCTTAGATTCTAGACCAGCGATCTATACTATAAATAATGTTGTAAGCGAATGACAAATAACATGTATTTGTTTTGATTGTCTTAGCCTTAAGCTGCGCCTTGATGTGTCTGCATTGAAATTCGCACAGATGTCAGACTCTATATTTAAGACTTTTTAGGCAGCTGAGCGAATTACCTTGCGTCTAGAATTTGTGCTTAGCTTATATTGTTTTACCTCTAACTTAGCTTTACATATTAATTTGTAATTTGTGAAAAGACTTAAATGCTATTCGATAATTTGATAAAAGATGCTTACCACAGAAGTGGAATTTCGTAATTCGCAATTTTATAGACTTTAATTTAGCTAACAGAAGGTAGCCGAAACAGAAGGACTTTAAATTTCCGTCCACGGCTTTAAAATTATATGTTTTTTACTTGCCCATACGAAAGTGGAACACAATTTTGCCATAGAATACACAGTCTAAACTGTTTACTAGAATACACCCGTACTTTTTATTGCATCTGTGTTTTCGGAGAATATCGACCTAGTGAGTTTTGTATTTAAATGTGCGTTACCTGCCAACTATCAAGCAATTAAATCAAAGAGTGTGCAATGTGTAATCAAAGAGTGCGCTATAAATGTTAGTCAAATAGCTAGATTCAGCAACTAAATCAAAGTAACCTACTGTTGTGCATTATTGACCCAAGAATAAACCAACTTATTTTGTAAGTGTTTTGTGAAAAAACGTTGTCTAACCAAATGAACTACTATATACTCTACTATTAACCAGTTTATACGTTTGTACTGCAATTGAGTTGATTTTTGTCGACGAACGAGAAAAAAGAGAGAGATAACTCAACGAATTGAAGCGAACCATGAATAAAATCCTTTACAAGATGAATCTCCCTTTGTTTGTCTGTGTGGTTGTGTTTTGTTGTTCAATAATATAATAATAAGTGAAAATGATATACCTTTAAACCTTTAGAGTAGCCCATAGATTGATGAATTGAAGTGTCAATAGCCCTAGAATGTTTTAGATAGACACTTTTTATGTTTTCTTAGCAATGGCTTTGACTTATTATTTTCGCTTAAACATTTTACTATACTCGTCCACAGTCACATTTTGTACATATGCCATTAATCCACTCTGATCCCCTAATGATCTCTCACACACAACACTAACATATTCTGTTCTCTGTTCGATTTTCTTTTATCCACCGAAAAACATCAATACAAATTGACAAGCAGGCCTAGAAAACGAGGACATGACCCCCACCTTGCGCCAACTGTGGACCGCCATACGGCAGATGCAGCAGGATATGTCCCAGATAAAGCTCCAGATCAACGAGGAGCGCGCCCTGCGAGCCGATCTCCAGCAGCTGCTGATGCAGCACTTGGAGACGAGCAGCGTGAGCAGCGGGGCCAACACGCCCAAGTGTTGACTATGCAAGTGAACCGGGTTCTGGAGGGGATTACCCGGTCATCCGATCACCCAAACACCGAAACTATACCCGCCGCCGCTGCTTTTAGCTTTAAACCTTTTTTTAGATACTTTACTTTGCATCTCCAAGGGGGGCAGTGGGTCAATTACCAAAAAATTATCTAGATATGGAATCGTATATGGATTGTATTTACCGAATTACTATATATGTGTATGTATATTTGTGAATGGACAATATGCCAATTGTGTGTTTAATTAATGAGCAGTCGATTCTATATATTTTGTTTTCCTTTTTTCTGTGCGTTTCATTAAGGATGTATGTAAAAATCTTGAGATTTATAAACAACAATTCTAATGTCAAAAAGTATTAAAGCAATAAGTTTACATTTTTGTCTGATAAATAACATTGTTTGTATCGAAAAATGCTAAACTGTATTGACAACAAAACTTCTTGAAATTTAAAGATTGTTTTTAAATTTGTAAAGATTTGAGCAAGACATCCGTAATTAACCCATCTGATTTATTTATATTTTTTTTACAACGGTTAGATTAAGACCCTATTATTAATTTTTAGCACAACTTGCACTTTGCATTGGCATAGATTTACATATTTTAGTTTATAACTTATTTTAATGCAATTCTTAAAAGCTGCTTGTGTAAGTTATGAGAACAGTTAGTCCCAGTTTTGATCTATGTTTGGATGATGATTTAAAAATGGATAATGCAAAATTCTGAAAAAATGTGCCAATACTTTAGTAAGCTGCAACAAACAACAAACGTCGCTCAAAAAAGTTGTATTTACGTATTATGTCTAGAACATTTATTGGATAATATATACACAAATGTAAATGAATTAGAGCTTTTCATTGAGTTATTACGAGTACATTTCGCGTAGCAACTGGCGATTGCAATCGGAACCCACATAAGCAGAACAGAACAGAAACCACTCCGGATCCTAAGAATGCCTAACGATTTAACGAGTCTAAAACAATGTATAACCGCTAACGCTTGTGTCTGACAATTTTGCTGAATAATTCGGAATGCCTGGGGATTTTTCTGCTCTGCTTCGTGCGACTTGAAAGAGGAAAC